AAAACTCCAGAGCAGTTAGACACTGTACATGCTCCATGCCAGCATCAGTGATCGTACGGTATTAGGGAGAATGAGCATTTTGAGCCTGCTCAAAGGTGTCAGAAATCGCAGCTCATCTTTTATACCACTTCCATATAAATACAGCTCCTCCAGGCTTGACATCCTCCCCACATGCACCATGCCAGCGCACGTCACCTTCCAGCACTTGTACAAAATCGAAGTCTCCAGGGAAGTGTCAAGTGCATCAGGCCAGAATCAATCACCCCAGTGCGGTTGAGATAGAGGAACTTCAGGGTCCGTACTCTCCCAATGCCCTCCAATGTGCTGTCATTGACTAAGCTGGCTTTCAGCTCCAGGCGCTCCAGTTGTGGCAGCGAGTAGAGGCACTTGATACCTTCAGAGCTGAACCCTGATGTCACGTCAATGTGCACGTGCTTGAGGTGAGTCATGGTGGCATTGGACAAGGTAGGAGTCTGAGAGGCTAGAGAGGGCTTTCAGATCAAGAGTCGTATCGAGATGCCTCGATGCAAGGCACGGCACTGCTGCTGCCTCATCTAAATTCGCTCTTTTCCTGGACCTCTGCACCTCCCCTTCCACGCCCACCGTTTCCTTCTCCACTTTCTGCAAGCAGCCCGCCTGATCAACCAACTCCTTTTTCACTTCCATCGACCCTCTTTCCACTGTTTCCGGCTCTCCCTTTACTGTTTCCAGCGCCACTTTCACTGTCGCCAGCTCACCCTTCACTGTCGCCAGCTCACCCTTTACTGTCGCCAGCTCTCCCTTTATACTCCCTAGCTCTCCATTTATTGACACCATCTCTCCGTTTACTGTCCCAGCTCTCCGGCCTGGATGCACGAGCCGAGCGCCTTGTCAAGGCTCTCGGGGAAGTTCAAGTTGGTGGCTGTCGCATGGCACGAGCAACCACAAGCACGCCCTGCTTCTGCTTGAAGCCGCCCAGCTCCACAAGCAGCTGCTTGAGCACCATCCCCATGCACTGCTGGACCTTGGGGTTGCGGCTCAACTCGGCTGCCGCCTATGGCGCCTATCTCGTCCTTCTGAGGATACACACAATGCAGGGCGCCTCAAAAGGGCTTGCTGGCGGCGGCCAAGAGCTCGCGCTGGCGGCGGCCAAGAGCTCGCGCAGGCGGCGAGCGCCAACGCTGAAATCATTATTGAGGGGACAGGGAAGGGGGTGTAGGGGTAGAAGAGGGGGGGTAGGGAAGGTGAGATACAAGGCGCGAGGAGGTGGGAATAGATAGGTAGTTGGGTCAGCGGTGGAGAAGGAACGGATTGACTTGGCAAAGGAGGAAGACTGGCGAAAGCGGCATGAGTGAGGGGCCTTGAGGTGTTGCAAAAAATGCAAGAGGGCAACCACCACGGGATATGCGAGGCCCTTGATAATGGGCTGGTTGGAGCAGCAGAACTGATGTGGAGCACAGAGGAGTGGAGTGAGCGGGAGTGAGCGGGGTTGCACCACCCTGGTGTGGCGTGGCGCAGGTGGTGCAGCAGAGCACGATTGCTTGGAACAAAGTGCAAGTGCATCAACCATAGACGACGGCACACTAGGCACCAAGACAGCACCCAAGCGTCAGCACCCCGAGCACCAGGGCCAAAGCGTCAGCATGCTAAGCACGGTGTCCCAGGTGCCGCCAGCTGACGTGCAAGCGACCTAGTCGCCAGCGCCCAACCGCCAGCCAGCCACCAGCGTATCACCCACGCGCGTGCAAGCGCGATGCCCTTTAGCGTAAGACCGCCTGTCGCTTGGACGCACTACAGAAGTGTGCTTCAGCCGAGCGTCCTACGAGCCGACGCAATAGGTAACAATACTCATACCGCTAAATATAGCACAAAATTTGGCTATTTCTCTCTCTCTCTCTCCACCACTCTCCCCCCCTTACCCCCCCCCCCTCCCCTCCCTCTCTTCCTCGCTCCTCACTCCCCCTCGTCCTCACCCTCTCGCCATCTCCTAGAGATTCTCTCTCCAACCCTTTTAACTCACCGTCTTCTGCCGAAGTTGCTCGCACCCTTCGTTGCGGCCGCCGCCGACTATAGGAAGAGAATTGGCAGGCTAGATACCTGAGGGGCAGGTGTGGGAAACGGGCAAGGGAGGGGAGGACGAGAGTGATCACCATGTCCGCATGACATCAGCAAGCGTAGGACGTGTGCACACGATGCCGAAGGACATTGCCAGGTGCCAATCTGATGAACACAAAGCCGGCGCGCATGGCACGAGAGACCACCCAAAGCGCCATCGGCCTATGGCACAGCGTCTTAGGCGCGAGGGTCCTAGATACGGAACCCCAGGTGCTACGCGCCCACGTTGCCAGCGCCCACGGCGCCGCGCCTTACGCGCCAGCACTCAAAGCGGCAGCACTCAAGGCTGTTGTTCTAGCACTCGAAAGGCTGCCGAGATGGTGACCGCGCCGAATTTGTCTGGAATCGAAAAAGAAACGATCCCGTTGGGAAGCCAGCATACATCATGGGGGCAAAGAAAAATATCCACCGCATATATATTTGCCCTCATGACGTATGATGGCTTTCCAACGGAATCGTCTCTTTTCCGATTCCGGACAACTTCGGCGCAGTCACCATCCCGGCCACCTTTCGAGTGCTATAACAATGGCAAAAAAGGGACAGGCGGAATAGTGAGGGGTTCGGATCGAAAAACACGATACGCTTGTGAGGATCCTGATGGTGACAGTCACGATAAGAACGATCGCTCCCTCACTTCAACCCTAACACGGCACTGGTGACCGTGACGCACGGCAACAGCAGCCGCAGGGAATGTAGGCCCTGACGCAATCGACATATCGCAGCGAAAAAACTGACACGCTTGCCGACGAGAGCAAGGAAGGTAAGGTAACAGCCAACTTGAACGCATGGAGCATGAACAGGAAAAGGTAATGGATCAAGCAAATCCCCACGCGCAGATATCTCTGGTACAAAAACCAGCGAAACCAAGCGAGCATCAGATGGGGTGGATGCAAGGATCAGTGGCGAGGCAAGTAAGTAGCTGCAGCTGAAATGAGTAGCTGCAGCTGCAAGTACCTTGCATCAGTGGGTTGCTCCCTCGCTTCAGATGCAATGACCGCGAGTAGCGTTGAGTGCGATGACGGCCACAGGCATTGCTAGTGGCCAGCTCCTTTCCTCCGTTCCTTTCCCTCCCCTCCCCTCTCTCCCGTCCCTTCCTTTTCCCCCTCTCCTGTCCCTCCCCCTGTCCCATCTCGTCCTTATCCCTTCTTCGTCCCTCCCCTTAACTCCCTCCCTCCTGTCCCTTCCCATTCCCACTCTACAGTTCCTTCCCTTTCCCATCCTGTCCCCGTGCATTTCCCCCTTTTCCCGTCCCTCCCCTTCCCTCTCTCCCGTCCATACATGGTGGCACGTAGAGCAGGCAATCATGTCATGGGGAAGCACCGAGGGAGAGGACAGTTGCACGATGAGCGCACACACAGCACAACACAACACGACGCAATGCCATTTGCGCGATGCAGTGCCACGCCCCATCATCCCGTGGCATCCCATCCCATCCCATCCCATCCCGTCCGATCCCATCCCATCCCACATCCCCATCACAACCACTCCACCCCTCCCCATCCTACAAATCATCCCATCCCATCCCTTCTCACAGAACCCCACCCATCTCACCGTTGCATGCCCTCCACCCATGCGCCATCCAGCATCCACTTCGGCCACTGCCACACCTACACCCACTCCCTTCCTCCCCCCGGCATGCGCTGCACAGGCCGGCAGGCAGGGCACCCCAATAGACGCACATGGAGAGAACGCGACTGGAGGGGCCTGTGCAAAACAAAAGGGCCTGTGAAAAACAAAATAAGTGCTTGTGAAGCAAGACGGACAAAATAGAGGTTACATACCGCCCTCCCCCCTCCCTTTCATCCTCCGCTCTCCTCTTCACCCTCCCCTCTCCCTTCACCCACCCCTCTCTCTTTCATGCTCCCCTCCTCTCCCTTCTCCTTTCTTCCCCTCTGCCCCCTCTCACCTGTTGCCGTCTGACCTCATCACAGCGCTCCCAGCACCAGCAGCCGCCATACTCGCAGAGCCTCCCTGCCCCCGCCCCCTCTGCAGCGTCCTTGCCCGCCCCCTCCCCCACATGGCCTGGCGGCTGCCTGTGCGCATGCCTCGCGAGCCCTCCGTGCCTGCCAGCGCCGCCATCTCCCTGCCGTGCTGGGATGGGAGAACGCTCGTGCCGTCGCTGCTTCGCCTTGAGAGGAGCTGACGGGGTTAACGGGAAGGGAAGGGGACGCGGGCACAACGGGAGGGAAGCAACGAGAATGGCTCGGCTCCAACTCACAACTCCACTTTAGTGCTCCACCCATGGCTCTAGTCAAATTTGACACGCTGGTCTCTACTAAGGCTGGAAAATCAACATCACGATACCTTCAGCCACCATACTCACATCCACGTCAAAACAGCTGTTTTGGCCCTTTCCGCTTTAGGTTAAACAGTACATATGCTAAGCACTGAGGCTGGAGTGTGGCGGGTTAGATCTAGTAGCCACGACGATTGAGTTTAGCTTAGGTACGGCAGTACGGAAGTGAAAGCGAGGATTGGTGGGTTTTGGGTGGGGTGGGGTGGGCTGGTTGGGCGAAATTTGAATTGCAACTGTCAAATCGAAATGTCAAGAACTAGCTTCAACTTTCTTGGAATGATCCTCAGACGGTCCTTCGAACTCGAACTAATTGGAGTTGGAGGCAAATATGAAGGGGTTCGTGACAAACCATAAGTGCTTACCCGTGACACCAAACACACCAACACCATTTTTGGAAAAAACAAAAGTTGGCAAGCCGAACGCGTCTGATACGCCCAACGTAATTGTTCGATTGAGTTTGAGGCAAACACATTCGAGTTCGCCATTTCCTCATGTCTTCCATCACCCACCATTCATCACCACCACCCATCGCCCACCACCCACCATGCATGGGCCTTGAGCCATGTGGCTAGTCTCTGGCGCCATGAGGGATGCACGAGGCATGAGTGCCTCAGGCTGAGCCGCTGAGCACCCTGCCATCAGCACGCTCCCACCCAACTGCACCCACTCGCATGCCCCATTGCAGCTTCAGGTTTGCGGGAGAGAGAGGGGCGGGCGAGGGAGGGGAAGGGTGAGGGGGGAAGAGGACGAGGGAGGGAAAGGGCGAGGGAGGGGAAGGGCGAGAGAGGGAAAGGGCGAGGGAGGGGAAGGGCGAGGGAGGGAAAGGGCGAGGGAGGGGAAGGGCGAGGGAGGGGAAGGGCGAGAAAGGGAAGGGCGAGGAAGGGAAGGGCAAGAAATGGAAGGGCATGAGCATGACTGGTGGGCCGAAACTTGGGGGACAGAAAGGGGGTGGGGAGGACGGTGGGGTTGATAAGCTAGTGTATAAGCCAGGAATGACCAGCTAATTCCCCCCTTACTGTCACCAGCTCTCCTCTTACTATCACTAGTCTCCCTCGCACTGTTAACATTTCCCCTCTCACTATTGACATCTCCTCTGCTCGGCGCCTCTCAGCCTCCTCCAGTCCCCTCCGTGTCTCCTCCAGCTGCCCTTCCAGCGCCCTCAGCCTCATCTCCATCACCAACACCAGCCCGTCAGTTCCCGCCTGGTGCCCTGAAAAACTCCCAACGGCCTCGTTGTCTCCTCGCATCCCGAAACTGTGAAAGTTTAGAAGAGATAAGGGGTTGCACTAGCAAGAATGGGGATACAAATAGCAAACCCTAGAAGGGTTGTACTCGCTATAGAGCACCCCACTACAGGCTAGAGCATAAGATAACATTCAAACACACCCCCATAGCCAAAGGGGGGTGTAATCAGCATAGCAAACAAAGCAGTACAAGCTCAGGGTGGATCACAATGTCACCACACATTCTGAGCACAAGTTCAAGAAGCAATAGTTTAAGGTTCACAATTATGAGCAAAGCTAGAGCTAATCACAGCGGACAAGTGAGGAGGAGGACGAGCTGTGGGGGAGAGAAGATGGGAGGCGACTGCTGACGCCGCAGACAAACAGACGAGCTGCTGGCTCAGTGGCTACCGGAACAGCGCTCCGGACTACTAGAGTAACTGGCCCCGCGGCTAATAGTAGCGGCAGACGAGCAACAGACCTACGGGCGACTGGCGACTACCGGAGATTGTAGCCTCCGGTCTGCTGCTGCTGCTGACGACAAGACTGCTGCTTCCACTCAACCTCCCCCAACTGTCCCACACTCTCGGCACACGCCCACTGCTCAAACCCTAGCTCCACTCAGACGCACCCCCATTAAACCCTAAACCCCAGTCTCCCACTCATCCACCCCCCTCAGCGACAGCTGCAGCAGTGGGAGACGAAGGAGGAGGAGGAGCAAAGGGAGGAATGCACAACTGCCACCCCTATACTCGCCACCCCCTACTCGCCACCCCCATACCCTGAGTGTGCGGTAAGCGAGCTCACGTGTGCGCGAAGCGTGCACAAGTGTGCGGGAAGCGAGCTCGAGTGTGCGGTAAGCAAACGCAGGTGTGCGGGGAGGGGGGGGCGTAGGGCGACACGCGGGTCGACGGGGATGGGCGCACGGGTCGCCGGGGGCGGCGCGCGGGTCGACGGGGCCGCCGCGAAGGGCGACGGGGAGCCGCGCGCGGGTCGACGGGGCCGCCGCGAAGGGCGACATGGAGCCGCGCGCAGGTCGACGGGGACGGGCGCGCGGGTCGACGGAACGCGAAACCGCCGCGTGCGCCCAGGGTGCGCGGTGGGCAGGAAACCGCCACGCATTCCGAGCGCATGGCGGGCAGAAACCGCCGCGCGCCTCGGGGCGAACGGCGGGCCGAAAACCGCCGCGCGCCTCGGGGCGCACGGCGGGAATAAAAAGTGCCGCACGCCACGGGGCGTGCGGCTCAAAGTGTAGTGGTAGGAGTTGCAGCGGAAGCTAGGAGGTGGTAAGCCCACCCACAGGATCGATCCAAGGGGATCGACCTGCTCTGATAGCATGTGATAATTAGAAGAGAGAAGAGGTTGCACTAGCAAGAATGGGGATACAAATAGCAAACCCTAGAAGGGTTGTACTCGCTATAGAGCACCCCACTACAGGCTAGAGCATAAGATAACATTCTCACAGAAATTGCACTCAGCAGCACCACAATTATGTGATTTATATATTTGAAATGCACGATGAGGGTGTGTGGTATGTAGGAGGATAATTGGACATGACGAAATGATAATAGCACCTAATCGAAACTTGTCATGGCTACGTCAACGCATCGGAAGGTGTTAACGGGTACATAATTCGTTGGTTGAGGATGCAGTGAGGTGACCAGACAAGGAAGTGGCTAGGGGATAGGACGCGTTAAAAGGAAGGGAACAATAAAAGTGTGTCAAAATCGAAAGAGGAAAATAATTTCCCTAAAGAGTTCCAATTACCTAGCGTTCCTCACAATAAAACACTCATTTGTAAAATGACATAAAGTTGCAGGTGGTTCTTTCTCAACTCTCGAACAACACCTGCAACAGTTTGGCGTTCAACCTTGATGTATTATCCAATGGGGGTCAACGTGGCAAAGGAGGCAACGGGTGAGTAGCTACAAGAACAGCAAGCGGAATGCCAAAAACAGGGAGCACGGAGGGGGAGACAGAGGGGAAAAGAGAAACCGAGAAGCAACATGGAACGGGGAACGGGCCAACGAGCTGCAAACGACTAGGATGGGCTGGGTAGCTTCGAGAGCTGATACAGAGACGTGCACAAGATGAAGAGAGGGAGCGAGGGAAGATTGCACAGCGGTGAAGATTGCAAATTCTGTCATTTGACAACGTAGAGAGGAAGGTAGGGAAAAGAAGTAACAAGTTCCGCCAGTTAACGACAAAGGCGACTGTGCAAGAGAGGCGAACAGATTCTGTCAGTTACTGACTAGAGAGTGAGAGAGAGAGCAAGGTGGGCGAGGGTGTATGGGCACTGTACGATGCAAAGTGAGCGAGGGGAGGTAATAAAGAGCAACGAATATTGATCCTCACATAAATGTGAAGGATCTCGTTTAGACCCGAGACAAGAAAGACAAGGTTGTTCGCGCACGAGGAGGATCAACGGCTCAGTTTATTAGCCACGTATTTTGAGTAGACTCAGAACACGTCGAGAAAGACGAGGCTCGCGCACGATGATCGCTCAGGTTATTAGCGGCGACGAAAACGCCGGACGCCTTAGAGGCTTCCAATATCGTAAATTTCATGAAATTGCTCATCCGTGAGTGAGGGCGTGTTACATTTTTCAAAGTCGTTGAAAGTCCGGACGCGCGCGAAGATAGCGACGTCGCACAGTCGCGTTGCGACTAATGCGATGTCGTAAGGAGGCAATACAAAGAATGCGACGTCGTTTAGACCTTGACGAACTCCCTGCCGAGATTTAACAAGTTCCGTAACCACAGAATCATCTGGACGGTGGACCGTCCGGACGAAAAAAAATGAAAAATGTAACACGCCCTTGTCAGAATGTTCTTATCTAGCCTGTAGTGGGGTGCTCTTTAGCGAGTACAACCCTGTTAGGGTTTGCTATATGTATCCCAACTGCTGCTAGTCAAACCCTCTTCTTCTCTCTAATTCTGACATGCTATCAGAGCAGGTCGATCCCCTTGGATCGATCCTGTGGGTGGGCTCACCACCTCGTTGCTTCCGCTGCAACTGCTACTACTACTCTTTGTGCCGCACGTCCCGTGGCGTGCGGCAATTTTTCTTCCCGTCGTGTGCCCCGAGGCGCGCGGCGGTTTTCTGCCCGCCGTGCGCCCCGAGGCGCGCGGCGGTTCTCTGCCCGCCGTGCGCCCCGAGGTGCGTGGTGGGCTTCTGCCCCGTCCCTCGGCACGTCACCCTCGGGAGGCGTTGCGACGGGCGACGGGAACCCGCGCGTCGCCCCCCGTCGCCCGTCATGGCCTGCGCGCCGCCCGTACAGGCAGCGCGTGGCCCGTACGGGCTGCGCCAGGACCGGCCTCGCCCCGGCCATGCTGCGTCGCCCGTCGCGGCGCACCGAGGGCACGTGCACCGACGGGAGGGACTACCTGGGGGAGGGGGGCGAGCGCCGCCCCTTCTGCCGCCTGTTTTGGCACCCTGGGAGGCCGCGCGTCGGTCCCCCCCCCCCCTCCCCCGTAACCTCCCTACCCGCCATCCCGCCCTGCCAGTGTTAGGGTTTGGGGGGTGGCGAGTAGGGGGTGGCGAGTATGGGGGTGGCAGTTGTGCATTCCTCCCTTTGCTCCTCCTCCTCCTTCGTCTCCCACTGCTGCAGCTGTCGCTGAGGGGGGTGGATGAGTGGGAGACTGGGGTTTAGGGTTTAAAGGGGGTGCGTGGGAGTGGAGCTAGGGTTTGAGCAGTGGGCGTGTGCTGAGAGTGTGGGACAGTTGGGGGAGGTTGAGTGGAGGCAGCAGTCTTGTCGTCAGCAGCAGCAGCAGTCCGGAGGCTACAATCTCCGGTAGTCGCCAGTCGCCCGTGGGTCCGTTGCTCGTCTGCCCTACTAATAGCCGCAGGCCCAGTTACTCCAGTAGTCCGGAGCGCTGTTCGGTAGCCACTGAGCCAGCAGCTCGTCTGTTTGTCTGCGGCGTCAGCAGTCGCCTCCCATCTTCTCTCCCCCACAGCTCCTCCTCCTCCTCACTTGTCCGCTGTGATTAGCTCTAGCTTTGCTCATAATTGTGAACTTTTAAACTGTTGCTTCTTGTACTTGTGCTCAGAATGTGTGGTGACATTGTGATCCACCCTGAGCTTGTTCTATGCCTGCTTGCTCTGCTGATTACACCCCACTTTGGCTATGGGGGTGTGTCAGAATGTTATCTTATGCTCTAGCCTGTAGTGGGGTGCTCTATAGCGAGTACAACCCTGTTAGGGTTTGCTATATGTATCCCAACTGCTGCTAGTCAAACCCTCTTCTTCTTTCTAATTCTGACATCCCTGAGACTCCAAGTACAACGACAAATGAACAGAACACCCGAAGGGTAGAAGCGCGTACGGGGATGGCCGCGACAATGGAAAAGCGAAGAGCCTGAAAGGTGGACAGATAGCACGAGCGCATCACAGAGGCTCAATTGGGGTTTCGTAAGGGCGTGTGTCTTTTGCTATAGAGGTTCAGAAATTTGGTTGAACTTTTAATGGTAACCCTATTCGTGAATGTCGCAATTTGTTTCGCTTGTGCATCGTGTGTCCTAGTACAACATTGTAGATGAAGTATTACACTAAACATGGGTTGATCTTTCTGCTCAAACCATGCGTGAACGAAAATTCACTCGCGTGTCCTTTTGACAATACACTAGGTATTTGCAAAATTGATGATGGTCGCAGCACATGTCGTTCGCACGATTGATTTCAGAAAATAGTGTTCCGGGTAACCTACGAGGGCTGGCCGCGACTCGGGAAAGTTCAACTTCGATTGTCAAACTTTCGTGTGTCCTGTGATATTTGTGAGTTGAGGAGCAGCGACTCGGGCTACAACTGCCGATATTGTCGAGCCTAGGTCGACCTAGGTTCAAATGCGTATAGTTCAACCAAAAACTTGAGTATTGCATATAAATTTCAGAAGACACGCGCCCTAAAGAGGTGACAGGGAACGCAGAATTTCACACGCGCTGCTTTCGAAGTGT